GGCGGTGGGCACCGCCACCGCCGCGAGGGAGAAGGGCAGGATCGTGTAACGGAACAGCGGGTGGTCGAGGTGCGAGCACAGCATCTGCCTCGCAAGCCAGCGCGCCACGGGCCACAGGTCCCCCGGCGGCCTGTCGTCGACGCTGACGATGCCGGTGACCCACACAAATTTCCAGCCTGCCGCCCACAGCGACCCTGGCAGCGCCGTGTCCTCGCTCAGCGAGGTCTTCATGAGCTCGACCCAGCCGCTCGCCTCCACCACCTCGCGCCGCACCGCCAGCGAGCCGCCCCACGGTATCGACAGCTCGTCGCACACCGCCGCGCACACGACGCCCCACAACGCGCGCATGAAGCCGACAGGGCCGAGCCCGTGTGGCTCGAACCAGCGGTTGCCCGAGGCGGCGCCGACGCCCGGCTGGCAGACCTCGGAGACCAGCATGATCAGCCAGTCCGGGCGCGCGTCCGCGTCGCCGTCCACGTTGATGACAACGGCAGTCTCAGGGAGGAGCTTGGAATAGGCCTGGCGCAGCGCGGCGCACTTGAGTGACCCCGACACGGGGCGGCGGTCCTCGAGCGGCTCGACCGTCGCAGACTGCGGCGGTTCAAGGTGGGGTGAGCGGCAATGAATTTCCCATGTGCGGCAGCGGCGATGTATGCAGGGCCTTGTGTTCACCACATTCATCAATATGGAATACAGAAATGCACTCATACTTTGATAGATCATTGATGTAATTGCTGTTATTGCTATTGCTTGCAGCTCGGCCAGGGCGACGCCTGTCTTGTGTCGGCACCGCTGGCTAGGCACTGGGGCAAGGGCCCGCGCGTCCCCTGAACGATCAGCTCCGTCGCTGCCCGCTCCACGCCACGCGCGGGCCGCCCCGCCCGCGCTCCCTCCCTGCCCGCCCCGCCCCGCCCCACCTGCCAGCTCGCGCCCGCGGCCTCTGCGGCCGCGACCGCGCTGGTTGCCAGCTTCCAGGCCGGGTCCTCGGTTGAATCCACGACGACGCGCAGATGCCACGCGCGGTGCGTCTGCTTCGCCAGCTGCGAAAACAGCAGCTCCAAGGTTGCGTCGCCACCCTTGAGGCAGAGGACAACCTCGGCCTGGGTCTGCGGGTTTCCCGGGGTCGCGGCGAGTGCGCGTGCGGCGCGGGCTCGTGTCGATGGCGGGCTGCGCAGCGCCGACCAGGCCTGTATGTGCTGCTGTGACAAGCAAGTGCTACGCTGCGCGTGCTGCGTCCTTCCGAGGGCATGTTGATGTGCCAGACAAATCTTGGTAATAATGAGATCTTCCCTCGTTGTCTGCCCTGAAACTGGTCAAAGCCTCTGCGCGGTTTCACCTCTCTGAACTGGCGCCACTGCTTCTTGACGCGCTCGCCGCGTGCCATGCCACGGGCGATGGCGAGCTTGAACCGCACCAGCATGCAGCACCACATGAGAAGCATGAATGCCAACAGGGCGGCCGCTGCAGGTCGAGGGGCACGGCGGCGGGCAACGGGCGGTCGGTTGAGGGTGGGGTATGCGCACGAGGATCAGCATGTCCCGGCCTGGCTTGCCGCTTCCACCGGGGGCCAGCTCCTGGAGCATTGACTGCTTGTTGACGCTGCTCACCGCTCATATTGACTGCTGCCTCGAATTTCAGCCAGTCGAATGGCTGCTGTGGATCGCTCTGCCAGCCGGCTGCGGGGTCGGGTGTGTAGGGTTTGGTGTGGGTGGGTCAAGCAGGGGTGGTTGGCAACAGGCAGGGGGTTGTTTCCAACTGTCGGTCCTTGTACGCTAGCTACACATGTGAAGTAGCAACCCAAAAAAGCCAGTGGGTGCGCTTGTAGTAGACAGCTCACCCTGCACGCGCGCGTGCGCACATGCGCGCATGCGCCAAACACTTACTCAGAGCTACAGCCTTCGCCCAAGCAGCCCCGCCGCCCGCCGCTGCGCCTGCGGCAGCAGCCAGCAGGGCAGCCGCGCGTGCGTAGCTTGTGTACATCCAGGAGTTGTTGACTGGTGGCGCCTTGAGGAGCCCCATCTGCCCTTCCACTTGCCGCCGCGTTACAGCGAGCCCGAAACGTCACACGGGCGGGTTCGGCTGAAGGACTCCGCGCATCAAGGTATGCGGCAGTGCTGGAACGACCTCAGAATGGGAAACTGGTATGGATCAGTAATGTCTTCGATACCGTTAACAGATACCGTACGCCGTGTTGTTGTGATGCTGGTCTAAGGTTGTTCGTTCGGGGAATCCTGCAGCTCGATTGACGAAGGGCACCGTGCGTGTACCGTACGTTGAATTTTCGTGGATCAATTGCTCAAGGTATGTTTAATAATCGTCGCCACTGTTTGGAGATCTCGGCGGCTGCACACAGGCTGGTACCGGCAGTTCCGTGTGCGCGCCGCCACCACTGCAGGTCAGAGGTCCCGCATGGCGCTAGGATCAGCGGGGCGGCATGTGTGCGAGCTAATACGCCCTGAAATATTTGAATGCTTGAAATTTAATTTCTTACAGTATGCATGCTGCATTCCCAATGCTTCCATACCAAACAGTACGGTACCCTGCAGCCTGTGTGTGGAGTCCGTCGCACTGTCAGCAAGGCCGACTGCAGGAGCGTGCGCGCAGCAGCCGTTTGGCACCCTGCCGCACGCTTTCTACTGCAAATCAGAATTTAGTGCGCCATCTGAGCAGCAGGATTCCCTGAGCGCACAGCAATTGCAGGCAAGGTTGCCAATGGGTAATGTTCTTGGCCATGCAAAGCGAATTTGGAAAGGACCTGCAGCGTTCACATGACACAGCAATTGACTTGGGATACATGAAGACTTTCACAGCTCGTGGATGCGACTTGGTTACCTTCAATAATCAGACCGCGCTGCATCCGCAGGTGTCAATTACTCAACTGCCAGCAAAGCTGTTGCTGATGCTGTCGTAGCACGCACGGCAGCCAGCGTCCACCTTTTTCTTGGATGCGTGTGTCTTGCCAAAAGAAATCAGCAATTATTTCTGCTGAATGTTTTCCACGTAAGTGTCAGCGCCTTCGCCGCAGTTCAAGGCGACTGAGCGACTGCAAGCGAGATGGCTGGGTACGTTGATACTTGGGTTGCGAGCGAGTCCGACGTCATCAATGTGGTGACCGGGGGCTCCGCGGCAAGCAACCCGTTTTCGATTTTTTTCGGTTGAACTGTTGACGTACTGCTCGCAACAGCAGCCACGCTTCGTCGATGTCATGATGCCATCAGTCACGACCCGTTGCTGGCCAGTGACCGGTGATTTGATAAGTGCGCTTCCAGATTGTACCTAGAAATTCACGCACTCATATTCAACATTCGAAACATTTCCAAGTAGTTCGTGACAACGAAGCGGGCCCAAGCGTGGTCTGGGTATTCACAACATCGACCGATCGGCCCGCTGAGATGGCGATATCGCGCGGTTTTAGCTGGGATACAGCCAGGCAACTTGACAGCCGTGCCCTGCGCTCCTGTCCCGTGCGGCCCCTGGCAGCACGCCGCCGCTGGGCGCCCACAGTGAAGGTGCACGCGGCCACGGCGGCGGCGTCTGCGGAGCAGGCAGGGGACGTGGTCACATGGACAGCGCTCCTGCCATACCACACGCTGTTGGAGGGTCCATTTGCAGGTGCTGCCATCAAGGTGGTGGCCGTCGTGGACAGGGCCACAGGTGCGGGCGGATTACGTCACCCTTTTGCGTCACCTGCCCGGCAGGCCACCCCCGGCCCGTCCCTCACAGGGAGGGACGCGCAGCTGCCACGCAGCAATCAAAGGGCGTTTGGGCCAAGCCCGCGCCCTACCCCCCCCCCCCCTCCTTTCCCC